ATGCTCCAGCTAGTAAAGTGTGTAAACTTATTAAGTCTCTCTATGGACTTAAGCAGGCACTGAAACTCTGGCATGAGAAATTTAATAGGGTTGTTCGCAACAATATGTATCAAGTTAGAAAGTCTGACAAGTGTCTATACATCAAGGTCGCTGAAGGAAAGATGGTGCTTATCTGCTTCTATGTAGATGATATACTCATCATCAGGAGTGATTTGGAGATAGTAACATCTACCAAGAAATTTCTATCAGCACAGTTCAGCATGAAGGACCTTTGAACTACGGACGTGATTCTCAGAATCAAAATCATATACTCTGAAGGGGTATTGGATTGTCCCAATGTTATTATGTCGAGAGCATGCTAAGGAAGTATGGCTACTACGATCTGCCAGAACTGTCAGTGTCGTATGATTATAACAAGAAGCTTCGACCGAACACTGGAAGACCAATAGAGCAGCTAAGGTACTCAAATATAATTAGAAGTCTTATGTACGCGATGAGCTACACAAGGCCAGATATAACATTCGGTGTAACAATGCTTTCTAGAGATTAATGAGATACTTGAAAGGAACTATAGGTCTGGGTCTATTCTATACTGGATATTCGGCTATGATCGAAGGCTATTCAGATGCGAGCTGGTGCTCAAAACCAGATGAGTGCAGATCTACTGGAGGTTTTATCTTCACCATGGGTGGAGCTACCATCTCGTGGAAATCTAAGAAGCAAACTATGAGTGCACAGTCATTGATGGAATCTGAGTTCTTCACACTCTGTGCTATAGGAGATGAAGCTGAGTGGCTCAGTTGTATCCTTCGAAACCTTCCATTGACAGAATTGTAAGGCGCAATTATAATCTATTGTGATAATCAGGCAACGAGTGCTATGGCAGCAAACTTGTTGTTTAGTGAAAAGAAGCGAACCATTCGTCTGAAGCATGGCTATTTGAGAGAACTCATTTGTCAAGGAGTCATCTCGGTGATTGACGTTCGGTCTTCAGAGAATGTGTCTGATCCTTTAACTAAAGGTCTAAAAAAGGGCATAGTCGAAAGGACGTCTGCTGTAATGGGTCTCAAAGTTTTATGAGTCTTACAAATACTTATCATGTTCATCCAATTATTAGTTCAAAGCTTACACTACTAATAATAAAGATAACTGGTTCAAAAGTCAAGTAAGATTTGCAAAGTTTAGCGAGTCTTACAAATACTTACCATTTCGTCAAGTTATTAGTTCAAAGCTTACGCTACTAATGACAAGATGAAAATACTTACCATTTCGTCAAGTTATTAGTTCAAAGCTTACGCTACTAATGACAAGATGATTGGTTCAAATGTCAAGTAAGATTTACAAGTGAAATCCTATCATGTAAAGAGGTTGGTTGTTAAGCCTTAATGAGTCCAAAGCATTTCAGATGCGGGATGTTGGATAGATAACACGCCTAAAGGACTCACTGATAATCCTATCAAGTAAAGGGGTTTGCTGTTAAGCCTTAATGGGTCCAAAGTATTTTGGATGCGGGGTGTTAGATAGGAAACACGCCTAAAGGACTCACCTAGAATCCTATCATGAGAGAGAATGACTCTTAAGCCTTAATGAATTCAAAGCATTTCGGATGCAGGATGTTTGATAGGAAACATGCCTAAAGAACTCACCTATGCCTGGATGGAGATCTGACTGTCTCCTTTGGTATCTTGTGGAAAGAAACCTAGAGCCCTAGTAGAAACCAGGATAAGCACAAGGTCATAAATGTGCAAAGGCAAATGTAAGTGTGGTTCAAAGTGAAAACTACCACAGATGAGTTTGATCGTGTGTGATCGCTAGGTTTTAGACATGTGTTGGTTCAAGTCTCAGCGACACCATACATCTTATCTTCTATTCAGTTAGTCTAAGGGGATTCAAATCCTTACGATATCTACCTTATGCACAACGATTGAAACAACGACACCATAACATGACACTAGTTTAAAAACTTATGGGGGATTGTTGGATTTTTTTGTCAAGACCGCTTTCTAAAATGAGTTTTCAAACTATATATATATTAACTACAAGTACTTTTCATAAATGCTTAGTAGCCTAGTGAAAAGTTTATGTTTTGGTATTTCAAAAGGTTCCTTGTTCGAGGCTTACTAACGGCAAGCAGAGAAGTGTTTTATTTGAATTAATCCCTCATAAGTTCTAGTGGGCCGTGGGCTGTGGGCCAATGGGATCGGGGCTAATCGGGCGAAGGCGCTAAGTGGTGCTTTGTTATGCGCACTTTGTACTTCGCACGGAGGCATCGGGGCGAGGTAGCGTTGTTTGGCACCACGAAGGTTGCCTCGTAGGCTGCTTCACATCATGCAGATGAGTTACGCATTCGCACGAGGGTGTGACCCTAGCGTTCTCGTAGTTTGATAAGATTTGCTCGTTCGACGATTTTCGTCTGTCATACGAGGTTCGCCTGTTTGACGATGTTCGTTCATTCGACGAGGTTCGTCTGTCATACGAGGTTTGCCTGTTTGACGATGTTCGTTCATTCGACGAGGTTCGTCTGTCATATGAGGTTCGCTTGTTCGATGAGATTCGTCTGTCATATGAGGTTCGCCTGTTTGACGATATTCACTCGTTCGACGAGGTTCGTCTGTCATACGAGGTTCTCCTATTTGACGATGTTCGTTTGTTAGACGAGGTTCATCTGATTTGCTAAGACGTGACCCTCGCGTTTCGTAGCACCGCTTCCATTGATTGTCTTGTATTTAGGAGTTACTGTATGCATCATTTACAATAGCATTTAGAGCAATTTAATGCATATGATGTTACAATCTTAATTGCCTTTGAGAATTGTAACAGTCACATTAATTGCAAGTGACTCTTAAGCCGGTCTTAGAGGCCTATAAATAGCGCCCTTGGGCAGCTCATGAAGATACTCTCACGAGCGTGGAATACGAATGTCGGTATACACACGTGAGCTTGAAAACGGACGTCGGATCGAAGTTGTTGTTGCTGTTATACTGCTGCTGCAAAAATTATGCCCACAGGAACTTGCCCTTAAACCGAAAGGTTTTGAACCGAAATGTTCTGAAATCGACGAGATCTTTGCTTTGACCGAAAGGTCTTATAGATCGAGGAGATATTGACAGTACTGGGTTGGTGCACACTGATTATTGTACTGCTGTTTCTAGAAGTAGTTTGGCATTGGGATCCTTGCACCGTAGTAGGCCAAATATTGCTTTAAGCACATCGTTTCACAAACGCACAACAGTTAATTTAAAAAAGTTTAAAATTACAACACATCATCCTTCACTGTTTAATTCTAGATTTAACCATAATTTCCCACAAAATCTTGCTCTAGGCTTCTTTTACTGCATAATGCAAATATCAAATGGAATTTGTGAAAACAACTATACACACCAATTTGATATTGCAAAGCTTGAGATGGAAGAAGATGAAGAAGAGGAGGAAAAATAACTTGATAAGGAGAAGGGGGTAGGTAGAGGTTTAATTAATTCAATAACTGCACTAGTTTGCATTTAAATTTAGTCTCATGAGTAGCACATGAGCTGCTTGAGCAAACTGTAATATTTTTATTTTTTTTTACAGTTTATGGTGCATTTCTGCTCCGTTTAAAATTTAGGGTATGTAAATATTTATTGGGGGAAACAATAGGCTATTTAAGTGCAATCCAACCTTATTTTTATTGTGTCCATGTGCGAGTTGGGGCACGGGAGACACGCTGCCACTTCACATGATCGAAGACTCCCGTATTTTTCACTCTGGAATCTTGATTCTTGCCGAGGAAAAATCGGACAGGACCTTTTTCTTTGATGTAAATTATTACAACTGCGACTCTAACGAGGATCATGTAATTAGTTTGGCAAGTACTCGACTAGGTTCAGGCCTCCTAAAGGTACGCTTCACCTTTATTCTTAAACTAAAACTATAATTAAGAGCAAACATGAGTACCTTTTTACTAAGAAATCCCATACTTAAAGCAACGTCTAGGTTCTTTGTTAGGTGAAAATCATCATCATTAGAACACGCGTCAGCTACTCGCAAGTCCCTAGGCAAACACAAGTCCCTAGAGAATCTTCAGCTTAGGAGTGATTTACATTTTTTTAATTTTTGAGCTTAGATTTATATACGTTATTTATTTGGTAGGGGAATTGAATGAGGACTGGAGTTCGATACGCTGCAGCCTACAAGGGGACACGACTCAGCAGCTCCTTGTTTTTTTTACTGATATAGCAAGTATCTAATACTAAAAAGTCATTAAAATGTTAGTATTATTTACATCCTGGTATTCTGTGCTTTGGTGTAATTATCCTAGTGATTGTCAATACATTTCACTTAGTTTAGATGAATAACAAACATTTAAATTGACCTAATATATATTTGAGATGTTGTATATAAGTTACAATAAGTTAGAATCAAGTTCGGAAGTGAATAGCACAAGTCGACAAGTTAATCACAACTAGTTCTAGAAAAAAATGACGCAACGCGGAAGTAGTAGCATCGGAATCCACCAAGAAAAATCTTCGAATCCACAAAAAGCTTCGAATACACGAAGTAAATATAGAAGGAAAACAAAATTTTATTAATCAAAAGTTATACTTCTAGGGCTTACAAGACTCTTCTTATATAGAAAAACAAATAAGACTCCTAGTAAGATTAGAATTACAAAAATAGAAAGTATCAAATAAGACTCCTAGTAAGACTAGAATTACAAAAAAATAGAAAGTATCAAATTCTATCCTAAAAAAAGACTATTTATAATAGAGGAAACAAATCATGAATCAAAATTAATTTTGTTTCCTAATCTAATTTGACGTAGACTCCTTATAATAGAGGAAACAAATCATGAATCAAAATTAATTTTGTTTCCTAATCTAATTTGACGTAGACTCCTTATAATAGAGGAAACAAATCATGAATCAAAATTGATTTTGTTTCCTAATCTATTTTGACTCTAAAATTAAATTTATTTCCTAATCTAAAAAGACTCCAACTTTATTACTAAAATAAAGTAAAAGCTAATTATTTTCGATTAAGCGTCCTACATCAGTCTCCCCTTGTTGAAAGAAGCTCGTCCTCGAGCTTATATTTGCTTGAATAGTAGTTTCATTGATAAATATCTTCCTTAACCTCCATCGATCAGCATCCGCCTTGTACTTAGTATTGATTTTCTCCATTTGATGTTTTACATGTTGTTGTTGCAAGGGTTGCTGTTGTCGTTGCTGTTGTTGCTGAAGTAGCAACTGTTGACTAGTTTGGAGGTTATTTTGCACATTGGGGTTCTGAATCAGTGGCTGCTGCTGCTGCTGCTGTGCCTGGTTCTGGACCAAAATCTGGGGCTGACCAAAATTAGCTTGTGGCAGGTTCATGGCAGCTGTCTGGTTAACGAATTGCTGCCTCTGTTGCAAGTTAGCATCTTGCATTTGCTGCTGAGGAAGCCTAGAAGCATTAAATTGAATGTTGTTCTTCTGTAAGTACTTATCTAAAGGAATCACAAATTCTGAAGGACTCGCCCTTGGTTTGTAAAATATAGCGAATGGGCTATTGTTTGCAGCCGCATGAGCTGCAGTAGTAAGAATACCAATATGCATGCTATCACTAGAAAGAACTGATGATGAGATGTTAGTCGGTTGCCTATTAGCACGCCGAATCCCCAAGAGAAGCTGTTGCTTTTCATCCCTAATAAATAAAACAGAATCCCCAGCAAACAGCCTCTTCCCGCTTATGAATAAGATCCAACCCGTTGTGAGTAAGTGTCTTTTTGGTTGACCACGGTAGATATGGCGGAAGGTCCAAACGTTATCGTGCAAGTCCCCGGCCTGCAGCTCTTGAGCAAGTGGTTGCATAGGGAAATCAAGAGGAGGAAAGATCTTTTCTGCAGCGCGGCGAGGAACGGAAAACCCTCCATGTGTGCTTGTGTCACTTGCAGTCAGAGTTTTACAAAAGAATTCTGTTTGTGGTTTTTTTGATTTTAGTGCAAGACCCGAAGCCAGCAATGCCTTCTCATCATATGAATTAACTGGTTGGAGTGTCACCTGAGCATAAACTTCATCCATCTTCACTATCATATCACCATCATGCATCTCATGCATATCGAGTGTTTGCACCTTAGGAGGAATTTCGGTAGAGACATGTTGTAGGCTGTCTAAAAATCATAATAGATAGCTGATTCCCCATCAAACACCGATGATGGAAGTTACAATCTAACGACTTCTAGAAGGCTATAATTTGAAGACTTTTACGTAGATCGATGAAGGTTACAATCTGACGACCTTCATAATAACTGATGAAAGCTCTAATCAATAACCTTCACAATTAACATCAGGAGTTACAATCTGACGACTCTCACATATCAAAGAGCTAAAGCAAAGATTACAAAATGACTATCTTTGCAACGCTCTGACAGAAAGAGACTACAAATCGACGGTCTCTTCAAACCAAGACGTGGAAGTCCTCCCCGCGTACCATCATCAAGATGCAACACCAATTCGACAGCGGACGTAGGTCAAACTTGGCTGCAAACGCAGCTCACATTCAGCTCCAAACGCTGCAAACGCAGCTCAGATCTAGCTGCCAACGGAGCTCATGTTCGGCCGCAAACGCAGTCTCCGAAAGCTGCCAACGCAGCTTTCATCCGTTACCAAACGCAGCTTCCAACAAGCAGCCAAATGTGCTTCCAGCCGCTGCGTCCGAGCCTTCAAACACTGCGTTCAAGTTTCCAGATACTGCGTTTGAATGCAGAATTCACACCAGAACGCGGATCTTGCGTTTGACTCGTTCAAACACAAGCTGAACGGTTTCAAAACCGTTTCCCACAATCTGAGGGGATCACAACTCCACTCAGGAGTGATTTAAGGGGTGGTTACATCCCATTAGCCCCACTTAGGAGCGAATTAAGGAGGCGGTTACACCCCTTAATCCCCTATAAATAACTAAAAAATCAGTTTAGAGGGGCTGGCTTTTAGATCCGGCTCTGGGGGAGCAAAGAAGAGATCCTTAGCTTGTCTAACCAATTACGGTTAAGATCAATTAACTCATCAAGAGTTCTAAAACTTACTTTGCAAGTTCTCCACAGCGTCAAATTGTGAGGAGGAGATACCGTTCCAGTGAATCAAGACGTGCGGATCGTTAACGGAGAGCAAATTCGACGCGAGCATTCGAAGGAAGCACTCCATCGCCACCATGAAGAACCCAGAATTAAACAAAGGGGAGAATCAAATTTATTCTCCTCTCTTTTGTAATCGGAATTCAAATTATAATTAAGATCGAGAGAATACAAATCAAATTTTCCTTCATTTTTATTTACTACAAATTTTCCACAAACAAAAAATGGCGACTCCATTGGGGAAAAGCTTCTCTGACGAAGAAGTGGTGGCGCAATCCGATATTCATCTCACTGGAACGACGGTTGAAACTCTTATCGTAGAGTTCGATCAAGCCAAGTACGAAGAAGCCCTCTCCCCCGGACCCCCCCAGCCAGGGGCGCGCCACCACCTGGACTCCTGGCTCGCTGATCGGGCAGCGAGACCCCCGAATACTATGCGTAGCACGACTAGATTGAGGGGCGGATATAAGAAGTTCATGGATTCAAGACATCTCAACCAGATCCATGTTCACCAAGATCCAGCCATATCCAATCATGTACTGGGGGTTCTAATTCAAACCTCACGACCAGTGAGTAGTTCTCCTCGAATCTTCACAACAGATTTGAGAAAGTTCATATCAAGAGAAAGACCGATGCAACAAGTCATTCGTTCATTCCAATGTGAATGATTGATTCCTACGGTCCTCTCGGGATGTCAATGCTGCTCATATGCAGCCAAACTGTTGGTGTTCGACCAATTTACGAATGTTGCTTTGCCCAACCAACGACGACGTTTTCACAGGAAGAAGTCTCCAGAGACCGAATATCATGGGGTCACTATCAATGTGATCAGCAGAGAGAAAGCCTCAGGTCCTAGTTCCGATGACTCTGAGACAAGTCGTTCACCAACCATCAGAGAAATCGCTAACGAGTTTGAAGGAGTCTACCAACGCACTCGGACACAAACAAGAGCTATTCTCCCTGTCAACTATCGGAGGCTAGCCAAAGGAACCAATTCCGATGATGAACACTCAGCCATTGCAGAGTCCCAATCATCAAGCTCTTTTGTTGAACATAAGAGCTCCGCTTATATGACGGCAAACCATGAAGACCTCGTGAAGAGACTTAATGAGCAGGAGGCCATACTGAAATCTCAGAAGGAGGCCATTAATGAACTCATGGTCCTGTTGACTCAACTCGTCGCAGACAAGGCCAAATCTCAGAAGACAGATTTGCCACCTAGGCAAGAATCTTCCCGGAGAAAAAAAGTATCTTCATCCCGACTTTACACAAGCAAAGGGAAAGGAAAAATGGTTGATGACACGGCTTCTGACCAAGAAGCCCATAACCTGGAATCTTCCTCTGATGAAGGAAGAGAGACGAAGAACGAGCAGAATCTCTAGTCTGTCAAAATGGAAGAATTGGAAGCCCGCCTAAATGCCATTACTAACAGAAGCGAGGTCCAAGACGAGGGAGTTTCCAGGCCTTATCCTGCCGAATAGGATGCAGCCTCTTATCCTCCAAAGTTTGAACTCCTGATGTTACAAACTTTTAACGGCACGGGATCACCGAACCAACATATTTATCATTTTAAGTCACAGACTGGGAATGTGATATCAAACGACGCCATACTGGTTCGATTGTTCATTGGCACCCTCAAGGGAGTTACCTTTGAATGGTTCAGGAAACTGCCTGCTGGATGTATCCAAAAGTGGACGGATCTAGAGAGACTCTTCCTATCAAGATTCTTTAAAGATGATACAGAAGTCTCCATTCATACCCTTCTCGCCACTAAGCAGAAGAAGAGGGAGTCTGTCAAATCCTTCGTCAAAAGGTTTCGAAACATGGCTCTGTGATGTCCGACAGGTATGACACAGTCTACCCTAGTGGAGACCTGTCGACACAATTTGCAAACCGACCTCCTAGCCCGAATAGGGGTTGCAGGATGTCATTGCTGGAGATAACTAATCTCTCAAGGCGAACAGGCTCAAAAGATTATTGTCAGGATCAAAGCTGAAGAGCAAAGTAGGCAGGATCAACCGGAGCAATCGGGCCAAGCTCAATCTTCTCAGTCAGAAGGAGAAGATACTATGGCCATTGAAGCCAATCCCCTTTAGTAAAATGGTAGGTCTATAACAACTATCACGTTAACAGTTACCTCTGATAGTCAACCTCGTTAGATAGTGGCCCATTAGGCGATGTGTCATGTCTACCCTTTTCCCCCCTGCACGTGTTCAAGACTGGGGGTTAGTTTATTTGTAGTTCATTAGATTATTAGTAATAAATTTTTTGAGTTGTCATGTTCAATAGAATACCTCTGTCAACCACGAAGTCCACCAAAACTATCACGTTAACAGTCTAGTTCCTTCAAATTCCCCCACCAATCCTCTTCAATAGGATGGCGGGTACACCAAAACTATCACGTTAACAATTACCTCTGATAGTTCATTTTCTCCAAATTCCCCCAACAATCTTCTTCAAGTAGGATGACAAGTCTAGAAAAACTATCATGTTAATGATCACCTCTGATAGTCCATTCCCTCTAAATTCTCCTGCCAATCCTCTTCAATAGGATGAAAAGTCCACAAAACTATCACGTTAATATTTACCTCTGATAGTCCATCAACTTGTCAATCCTCTTCAAGTAGGATGGCAAATCCACAAAAACTATCACGTTAACATTTACCTCTGATAGTCCATCAACTTGCCAATCCTCTTTAAGTAGGATGACAAGTCCACAAAAACTATCATGTTAATAGTTATCTTTGATAGTCCATCAACTTGCCAATCTTCTTCAATAGGATGGTAGGTTTACAAAACTATCACAGTTACCTCTGATAGTCAAACTCATCAGATAATGGCCTACCAGGTGATGTGTCTCTATTTCGACTTCATGGATAGTGCCCCACTAGGTAATGTGCCTTGTCTACCTCTTTTTATTCCCCTGCTAAGTCTTAATCAAGACCGGGGGTTGGTTACTTGGAGTCCACTGGATTAAGAGTAACAAATCTTTTACATCGTCAAGTTAATATTATACTTCTGACGATCATCACCCCCACAGAATATGAATGCAGCTTGCATCACTCCTAATTTGTCACGTTAACAATATACCTCTGACAATCAACTTATCAATCCTCTTCGATAGGTTGATAGGTCCTCAAAATTTCTCAAATCGTAATCTTCCCCAGCAAGACACTAAGTCTTCAAAATCTTAGTATTAAAATTCATCGCTTCTGATGATAAACTTACTTAGCAATTCTCCCTAGCGAGACGCTAGTCCCCAAAATCTTGTTCAAATCACAAGTATAAAACTCCTGTCACGTTAACACTAAACCTCTGACAAATTCACTTATCAATCCTCTTTAATAGGATGATAAGTCCACAAAGTTGCTCCAATCGCAACATAATTCCTGTCACGTTAATATTAAACCTCTGACAAATCAACTTATCAATCATCTTCAATAGGATGATAAGTCCACAAAGTTGCTCCAATCGCAACATAATTCATGTCACGTTAATATTAAACCTCTGACAAATTTACTTATCAATCCTCTTCAATAGGATGATAAGTCCACAAAGTTGCTCCAATCGTAACATAATTCCTATCACGTTAATATTAAACCTCTAACAAATCAACTTATCAATCCTCGTCAATAGGATGATAAGTCTACAAAGTTGCTCTCATCGCAATATAAATTTCTGTCATGTTAATATCACACCTCTGACAAAATCAACTTGTCAATCCTCTTCAATAGGATGATAAGTCCTCAAAGTTGCTCTGATCGCAACAAATTCCCGTCATGTTAACACCAAACCTCTGACAATCCACTTATCAATCCTTTTCAATAGGATAATAAGTCCATAAAGTTGCTCCGATCGCAACATTCTCTTGTCACGTTAATATCAAACACCTCTGACAAAATTAACTTATCGACTCTCGTCAATAGAGCGATATGTCCTCAAAGTTGCTCCGATCGCAACACTTTCCACTTATTGACTATCATCAAC